ATTAATCAAGATTCATTTCGCCCGAGCAAAATTTATATTGGCCGTAGTGTTGAATATCCGATGTCAATCAAGTTTCATGCCATATAAAATGTGGGTCGGATTTCTATATAAAAGAGATATCAAAAGAAGCGTACTGAAAACGCCCTTCAGCTAATTTACTTTTGAAAGCAATACTCAATTGTCCGATTCGGATTCTTTTTCTTTTGTATAAGTATATAGTAATTGAGACAAACCGGAAAAAAGGGGCAAAGGTGGCAATTTGTCCCCGGGGGGCTTTCTATTCGTTCACAAATCTAAATCGTACATGATTGATCTTTTTCATTACAATGGCTAATAGGAAGCTCTACGTTAATGTTAAGTCTTGTAGGACATTTCTGAAAAAGAGGCTCGTTTGATATGTGTACACAAGAGGAAAGGGTAAAAGAGCACGTGATTATTAGATGCAGTGATCCCGCTTTTGCGCTGCTTTTGTAGTGGTCATCAAACGAGCACTTATGAATATCATGAAATGTTCTGAATACAAATTAGAATTCATCCCTTTTTGATAGTTCTTTTAGGGTAGATACAACAAAGGAATATCTTTAATTATAAGCTTTGTGTTATAAATGAATGCAGTTATTGCCTGGATCAAATAAGCGTACACACGTATACAAACGGGATTATTAAGTTTACTGAAACATTGCTTTGTGTATTTTTTATGAGTTGGATAATTGTAATCACGTGTGAGTTTACACGCGTTTTATTAATAAATAAACAGTCTTTCGAAAGAAGAACCCCAATTTCGTAAAATGTGTTCAATTAAATGTACACAATAAACGGTCACTTTGAGTTGAAAAAAACTCTTTTCTTTGGTAGTTATGTCAAAGCAATTTATTGTATTAAAAACTAGGTATTAAATATTTATGAGTAATTCACTTTTGCCTGTGGGGTAAACCTTTTTAATATGACAACAGAAAATACTCAAACTACCACTATTTTCCTTAAATTTTATTGTGTCAGATAATCAGTTTTTTATGCTGTTATACCCAAAAAAGTGTGCTCTTGAATAATATATAAAGGAACTAGTAGTTTCCATTAACAAAAATGCCCCCCTTGACCATGCAAAAGTGTACTGACCACACATTTAAAGTATGTACATTATTGGTAGCAAACTGTTTTTAATTTTGGACATCACAAACGGCTTCTTTAAAAAAATATTGTTTTGAATATATCCACTGTTCCAGACAAAATGTTCACTCTGTATATTCTACTGTGTGCAATGGGCCCAGCCAAAATGAACCATACACAAAACACCTCAAACCTTAAATCCCAGTACACATCCGTATCCCGGCGCACTAAAAAAATCGATTTCTGACTTTCCAGATTCCAAACAAACATTGTCACATTAAAATTCCTTAAACTCCAAAAAGATCACTTACCAAATTTTGAAGGAATGGACATAACATTACTCATAATTAAGCATGAGACATCTATCTGAATCGTTAAAGGGCTCGAATAAACACACCATTTGCCTGATTTCACATGAATTGCAGTTTTTTCATTTTCAAAGATACACAGACACCAAATTTCGTCGAGATCGAGCTTTTTTGTCATATCGGCGTAGGAATTTGTACAAAATCAGAAGATCCTCCTATGTGAGAAAACTGATAGACCGCAAACTTTGAAACTTCTAGAGAATTAAAAAATTAAGAAGTGATTCCTTATAAACTAATGCACTATCAGGATGCTCAAACCCTTAATTTAATTAATTAATAATGACAATGTAAATTTTGAGAAACACGTCATAATCGTTATTTACCCACAAAACTGGATTGACAAAATTAACTGCTAATAGAGCAAACATAGACGGGCTATAAGAAATATTTATTATTCCGACTTGCTACTCATAATTCTGAGTTACAACTTAAGATTACAAGTTTCCATTCATCGTTCTGAAATTGCATATTTATCACCGCAGGGATAGGTTTGCTGCAGATTGAAAAATAGTTCTGTAAAAATTTCGTATAAGCAACATTTATTTGCAGAACATAAATAAATAAAATGAGTTTTTTTAAAACTTAACTGGCCCGCATACTCCGTCCCGCCCCTCAATGTTGTAGGAAGACTAAATCTGAAAAAAACTGTAACCTATTCTAACACACGAAGAAATGACACAGTTCCATGCAGCAGCATCGAGAGTCTTCCAACGAATGGCCGCATGACATCCATGGTTTCGGAATTATGACCGATATCACCTATAGGGGTCTAAGGGGCTTTTCGTCGCGACCAGAGTACTATAAAGAGCATATTTATTTCCACCTCGACCACTTCTGTGTGATGTAGTAAATTAATAGCTAACAGACTAACTAATGCATGAGTAACTTAATAGTACGAATGTATTGCTGAAAACCGTAAGGTTCTACAATGTACCGTTGCCGCGACACAGGTCGGTATAACCCTAAAAGGCGACCTTTGAATGAAATTCATAAATTATCAACTTCGGAAATGACCTTCAGTTTTTATATTACGCGATGCCGGAATAACTCGTTAGTACGAACCTAATGCTGTAGGTACTCCCGAAGGCTATAATGATGTTCCGTTACCGATATCTCGATCTATTTATAAAAGTATCCCTTCTAACGATATTCGTTATACTTCAACAATGGATTTCAGCTGGCTGAGTAATCGATGCAGGAATAACTCTATAATACCAGCCTAATGCTTGAAACCCCAAGACTCGTATTTCGTTAACTCGAGCGATTTATAAAAGGAGACAATCAAGGAAATTCATAAATTATCAACTTCTGGAATGGCGTTTCATCTTTCAGACTAAGCGATCCAGGAATAAATCGACAGTACGAAACTAATGCTGAAAACCCGAAGGCTATACGGTATTCTTTTATCTAGATATCGGTAGATCTATAGACGGCGCCCGAACGGAAGGACAAATGACCGTTGTGTGTGACTAGAAAGATTGCTATTGCTATTACAGCGATCCAGAAATAACGCAATAGTATGAATGTAATGCCGAAAACCTGTAAGCGTTACGATTTTCTTCATCAGAGCCACTCTAGGAGGTGAAAGACAAGCGTTTTGTACTTTTTTTTGGAACAACGAGCTGCCACCAATAATTTTGAGTTGAAATCCAGCTCGAAACGGTATCTTTTGTTGCCGTTAATCGTTGTTGTAACACGCATTTACCACAGCATTTTCCAACGAAGCAACAATTGCAGTCACTTTATCTGTGCCTTAACTACTCCTACTGTTTTCAATATATTTAGTTTGTTCTTATTGAATTCGGTAGCTTATAGCGCTGGCCCCTGAGCGATTAATGTGCGCATGTGCCATATAGTTCAATTCCGACGCAGAAAGTACTCATCAAGGTGGGGGAAAAGTGTAGAATTGTGAATGTCGGCACCATAAAGAAAAATCAGTATTCCTTGAGTTTGGTTGTCAAAGTGGTCCATTTCTTTGATCATTGATCTTTAATCTTTAATAATAAATTTATATTTATATATTTATAATAAAATTAATAATAATAAAAAAACCAAGAAAATAATTTTATTTCTAATAATTAAAACATCAAAACTTGCCATTTAAGAAACATGAATGGAATTTATCATTTTTTTAAAATTACATCCTTCACATCTCAACTGGGATACTGTCAATTTCATCCCGAATTCTCTGTTTTAACTCATGCACAGTTCTTGGTCAAGTTGTGAACACTTTTGTTTTGAGATAGCCCCACAACAAAAATCGGAACTCACTCTGCGCAGCTTTCAAACTATCACCTTTTTTATAAAACATTTTGTCACCCTGTATTTAAGGAGACTGGATGCTTGCTTCATTATCTGATTTATTCATTTAAACATCGATGGTTAGATAGGATCTATTTGTATGTTCGTGTTATTTTGTTTGTTTTAGCGTGATTATTAAATGAGTTTCTCTACCGATTTTTATCCAATATTCTTATGTGTGTGACACATTACCATTTCACCTTGTTGCCCATCAGGAAGTGGTGTATAGTTAACACTTCTTTTCAGCCATGCCATGAATTCCGCAACACTGTGTACATTTTTTGAACAATTTCTCAAATTGTGTAGGCTATGGATCTTATTTACGCAAACCCTGAAATAAGTGATATGTGCACACAGAACGTCAGTTATTGTGTTAAGGGCTGTATTTGCTATACTTTTCGAAAAACATCCAATTAATCCAAAAACTATTCCGTAAATATAGTGACTTACTACCGCAAATTTCGGGTAACTATGAAAAATTCCTGGAAAAACGATCCGATCAGTGTTTTGTTTCCTTCTTGAGGCACAAACCTTCCTCTTTATGTATTTATCAGAAGATTATTGCTAAGTCGTTCGTATTTGCTCACTCTGCCTAATGTTCGACAGGGCCATCATGATTTGACTTGCAGGCCTGACTCGATCGGTGGACACGGAGGCCTGACTTTAACCATCGGACTCAATCTGATTTAGGAAAATTGCGTGTGGTGGGAATGTGCACAAAAATATCTCATTCCCGAACCTTGGTACCCTATCATCTCTAAAGATTTTGAATGGCAACTTGCTATATGTGATTGATTATTGGAGAGTTCTTCAACAGTTCTCTTCCCCATTCAAGGGGTGCTAAAACCTTCCAATACAGGCCCAAATTAACTGTTCATGCAATTGGAAAATTTTTGAGTATTTTGAAATTGGGTTGATCGAATTTTATATTAGGTGTATAATAGATCGCGCACAATAGACACAATTGGCCAACCAGAACTGAGTGTAGCGAATTAGGAATTGAAATACGATATGAATCAATTACGTTAAAAAGTGTATGAAACTAACGGCGTTATATTAATTATTGACACGGCAGAACAGCTTTAAAATCGCAATTAAATAATTAAGAGGCGAATTCTTGCAATTAGTTATCACGTTCTTATATTTTTAATGATACCATTAAGTTTGTATACAATTGAACATGCAGCCAGATTTATAAATTATTTATTAATATACTTTTTACAGGTTGCCGCGAGACCGCATTTATCTACGCAATTACAAGTGCGGCAGTAACACACGCCGTCGCAAGAGCTTGCAGCGAAGGCGCAATAGAGACGTGCAACTGCGACTACAGCCACCATAAGAGTAGACCAAGGGTTTCCGGAAATTCGGCGGTCGCCGGAGTTAGGGATTGGGAATGGGGAGGGTGCTCGGATAATATAAGATTTGGATTTAAATTCAGTAGGGAGTTCGTAGATACGGGCGAGCGAAATAGAAATTTACGTGAAAAAATGAATCTACATAACAATGAGGCAGGAAGGATGGTAAGTAGAAGTGCATTTAATTTTGTTTAAAAATTATTCGAACCGGTCTAAAAAGGCTTTAATCCCTTCTTTGTTAAATTTTATTCAGCCCTCATTCTTTCACGTACTTACTAACAGCCCAGAACATATGTATTAAGGAATATTATCTGGAGTAACACGGTGTTTCGCCATGGGGTGCCTCTACTACTTCCAAAGACATGTGTGCTCTACAGGGCGCCACATTAGATGGCCAATGCACCATTCTTGTATGCGATGTCAACCGACTTTAAATTTAATAGCCATTCAGAACATATTGTTGTCTTTTAACAATTATTTCACCGATTCTAATTAAATCAATGCTCACGTTTATAAATTTCCTCAGTTTTCCTTTATGGAACTTCAAAGCATTTTTTGTAATGACCATCCCAACTTGTTTGTAGCAAATTAGTTTGTAATTAATTGTAGGCATCCACATCGTAGGTGGTTGATTGCTAACTAAGAAAGCATTAATTGTATTCTTTGACATAAATTGTAGCTATCACAGCAGCTAACGATGAGATCACACTTGAACATTTGATCAGTAAACCATAAGTGTTGATAAATTTACGTCTAATTCGAACCGAAATTTCGTCACAAAAACAGTGAAATAGTGCATAATTCGTATAGACTTCTGCTAGTAGGCTTCGCTGCGATGGGCGGAATTTTGTCATTGCCTAATTGGTGTTAGTAACCTTTCATTCCTCGTTTCAATGCCTTCTTCCTTATACATCTACCTATTCTTTGCCAACTGCTAAATTACATAATATCTTATAAATTAATAATCAATTATACATTTAAATCAAGTTGACTGAAGTTAATTATACTTTACTATACCTAGTGGTCCTTTAATTAATTGTTGTCAAAATATTCATTTTTCTGAATGCCCCAATACTCATGGTGCTAATTGAATATATGGGCGCAATGAAACTTTATACAAATTATTATGCATTTTATTGCAACTGTACTAATAATACTGCTGTGTGCACTGATCCGTAGGCCAGAAAGATCGTACACAAAACACCAAAACAAAAACCTCGTTAGAACTTTACCTTCACTTAGTATCCAGGGCCGTAGCCAGAGGTTTGTTGCTATCAGGGCTTTGATTGTTATAGCCAGGGCGAATTAAAAAAGCGGTGTTTACGGGGCGCTAACTAGGGGTTGGGGGAGGGGGGGGGGCAATTTTGTCAAAAGTTCAAAGCCAAGGTCATTGATTGATTATTTCATTGCTTTTAACAAATTATCAGCCAACAACAGACAATGCAGCAGTATTAAATAGACATTTACATAATAGTCCGGAAAATGATACATTACTGGCGAGGAAATGTTGAAGTGCGTGGCCCCGAGTAATGTCATTTTACTAACGAGTTTTGTATTAAAATTTTACCCGAAATTGTATTTTAATATAAAATGTCAATTTGTATATAGAACTTTTGGTCAGAAAAAACTCGTGGTTGATCCATGCTCTAAACGGGGCGATGAACCATACAGGAAATAAACAACTCAATTCCTCAAAACCTTCCCCATGGATATTTAATTATTTTATTTTTATATTATTTAATTAAATTAAATATCCATGGGGAACGTTTTGAGGAATTGAGTTGTTTATTTCCTGTATAGAACTTTTGATTAATATCAATATGTCAGTGATGACAGGAGTAATTATAGACATTTAAAAATGTGACGGTGCGACCGGTAAAGTGACAGGTGCGGCCAGTAAAGTGACATGCGGCAGGAAACGTCGTCTGCTGTGCCTCTGTCATGGAAACTCAAATTTCCTGACAGAAAGTAGGCATGAAAATGAAGGTTTCAGGACGAGTTTGGGTAAAGTGTATTATGGCTTGGGTTGGATATCATAAGGTTAAGATATTTTAACCGCTTATAGTGATCGGTTATAATTCCTTATACCTCAAGAGTGGATTGTGGGAGAAGGATACTTACAAAGACAAAATAAATGTTTTAAAGAAAATGCGCTTTATCTGCACATCACAATTTATCCTTGTTTAGAATTTCATCGCTATTCTCCTGCCAGGGCGAAAATTTTGCCTGCCAGGGCGGCGCCCTGATTCGCCCCCCTCTGGCTACGGCCCTGTTAGTATCCCAGCACAAAACTCCTTCCCAATACAGAGGAGTGATAATCCTATGATGCCTAATCTAATATTAAATCAAAGCCAAAATCTCGCACTGCACCATCAACGAAATATATCATTCCCAGTCTTTTTCTTAAACTATTTCCATTCTCGTTTTTCCTTTTCTCCCTCCTTCCCTAAATTAATCCAGGGTTTCTCTATAGAAATCTCACACATAAAATAATCTCTTAATTCCTCAATTAGAAAACACTGTTTACCCTTTTCGCTTTTCACAATTAAATTATTCAAATAATCAATTCCTACTCCTTACAAATCCTCACTACTCCTACCACTTTTAATCTTGTCCTGCTTCCTAAAATCCTCATCCTGTTCTAAGCTACACAAATTCTCTTTATTCTCAATCGATAATTCCAGTTCTAAATCTCCTACATCCCTATCATAATAAAAATTCTTTGAAAAATCCTGAAAAAAATTGTCCCTTATCTGGTTCCCTAAAATCTCATAATTTGTTCCTATCTCCTTCCCTCCTATTACTTTCTTCGATACAACTTTCACAATTAAATTATTATTCCCTTTCATGTAGGTACCTAACTTTAAACAAATTCTACCCCTACAATAAATCTTATTATCGGCAAAACTCTTCGCTATTAAATAATTCAAATCCCTATTCTCATCCTCTATTTGAAACTTCCTATAATTCAAACAATACAACTTCAGCTTCACCTCTGGTTCCCTAACAATTCCTGATATAAAATAACTCCCCAATTCAACTCTAACTAAACTAAAATACCCTTATTTTCTTTCCCCTGTACTACTTCTTCGTCTTGCCTATAAACTTCTTCAATTACGACTTCTTCCTTAACATCAACTTCTTCTTTAATTACCATCTCATTTAATCGCTTCTTTCTCAACAATTTATTTTCCTAATCTAATTTATCAATTTTCTCATTCAACTTCCTCAATAATTCATCATTTTTCGAATCAATCTTGTCATTCATCGAATCCATTTTCTGATTCATCCATTCTTCAAATAATCATAAAATCACTTTCTAATTAAATCCTAACTCTAATTCTAACACTACCTACCCCGTAATTAATCATATCCTCAACATCCTAATCTAATTTAAATAGCAACAAAACACCCCACCAAATTCTTCCTGACACATTTTGAAAAATTCCTACGCCTACGCATCCTACAAATTCCTATAACAATTAACTTCCATAACGCACACCTCTTTTCATTGAAAAATGACATGTCTGGGTACCAAGAATAACTTTTTACCCGTAACGACACTGCCTAATCTGGATTTAAATACGAAAATTTGACCTACTTTTGCGTTTCACTGAATTTGCCCCACGTTATTGGTCGCCACAAATAATGCTGTGTCCAGTGATCCGTATGGCCAGAAAGACCGTACACAAAACACCAAAACAAAAACCTAGCTAGCACGTTACGTTCATGTATTATCCCAGCACAAAACTCTTCCCCAATACAGAGGAGAAATTCGATTCTGCTCTCAGTTAACCTGTTAACTTCTAACATATAGTGGGTGAGACTAAACTCCAAACTGAACTGGCCCAGATACTATTTAGCGCCTGTTAGCCTATCTAGCGTGTCATCTATTAGGGGAAACGGCTAACAGCCTTTCTTTGATACGTTGCGTTGTTCAGTTGCCTACCTACGCAAAACCTCGTACTGCATCTTTCTTTTTTACTAAAACCACATGTGCGGTCCAAGGGCTGCTGGATGGTTCAATTATTACTTGACTAGCCATGTCGCAGATGATATTCTCATTCTCAGCTTCCTCGCGTTTAACCCCTGGTAGTCTTCTTGGAAGTTGTTTAATAGGTTGGGCATCTCCGGCATTTATTTTAGGTGCTACCAGATTGGTTCTGCCGACACGTCCTTTTTCTGAAGCAAACCCGTCTTGGTAGCGTTTTGGCTTATTGTCAAATTCTGCATAAAGCTAGCTGTGATAATAGCTTGATCTCGCGACTGCAGCTACTACACGTCCCACCTTCAGTGCCATCCATGCGAGCCATCACAACTTTCTCGCAGGGTAAAATCATCCACAAGCGTAACGCGTCGCAGCCCGTTTTCTTTTCTGTGAATAGGAACTTCTTCATGGTCCACTCGAAGCACTTCATTCTTCAGGTCGTACCAATATTTTCACATGTTTCGGGGGCTTCTTTGCGGGATGATTGTGAAACAGCAAGTAGATCTTGTGTTAACAGTGTTAACACAGATGACACATTACTCTTTTCGCGTTTTTCAGGCAAAAGCATACTAAATCGTTTTCGTAGTTCGTCGATTTAGTTTTCTGTCGTATGAATTTTATGTTGGTCGCCCATCTCATCTGGGATCATGCCTCTTACTTTTTGTTGACATGCTTCGATTTTAGCCTCCATTGATTGTTAACCAGCTTCCAATTTAACTTCCATGGTTTGCTGACCAGCTTCTGGTTTAGCTTCTAAGGCCTATTAACCGGCTTTCGTTTCTTGCATTAATTGCTCTATCTTTCTGGTCACTACTGGCATAAACTTCAAACTATTGTTAACAAATCCGACACTTGACACCAGTGCAATGTAACTTTATAGCATTTATGTTAAATTGACATTTTAAAAGGTTTGAATGAGTAGGCTAAGCCGCTCTTTAACCATAAGGGTAGATAAAGTGATCACTTTAACCGCAAGGGTAGATAAGTGAAACAGATGTTTATGCATTCTAATGACATCTGTCATTATTATTGCAAATGGGACGCGGAGCGCGATATAAATTGACGTTCAGAACATATGACAATGCTGTTTCTATGGAAACAACCGCGACTTAAGCATGCTATTTTTGACGTCTAAATTAAATTCAGAATTGTCAGAGGCTTTACAATGATTTATATC